CTATATTATCCGCATTTTACAACATTTCGCAACGAAACTTTGGAATATTACTAATTTTGTGATGCTCTTTCAAGCTGTGATAAAATTTTTGTCCAGACTTGTTTAGATCAAAATTTTGTCTATTACGCAAATGGTCAATTGTTGAATTACAAAGGCTGGTAATACAGCTTTTCTTTGCTTGCACATGACGTCACTATGAGTCATTAGGCGCCATCTTGGTTGATTTTAAACTTTCGTTAAGCCGTTTACGGCGAAGTAGAATGAGTTAATTTAACATTTTCTGCTTTGTTTTGAAACCATGTTACTGTATTATGGATAATTTACTGTCTTTGGCTCAATACGACAAAGATTGAAGAATTTTATAGTTGCCACGTGTATTTTGAAAATCAACTAACATGGCGTCGATTGCAAACGAGCAATAGTGACCTAACTGAGTTGCCATAAGCCCAACCCAGTGCAGTAATATAATCTCACTGCTTTGTATTATTTTTAAAGTGCGACTAACCACTAATATGATTTTTGGAATGTGTAATATTTGGGTCATTCGAAGAAGAAATGTTATTTATTATATAAACATATTAAGTGTTATATAGAGTTTTTGGCCACTGAGAAAAATCGTATTTAAACACACGTAAAAAATACGATACTTTTACGTGTGAAAATATCATTTGTTGTAAAACGCATTGCCACGGACGTTTTATTGTTTTTCACTGAATTTTGTTTATATAATAAACAGAAAAATACATGCCAGATTTATTTCTCGTGTTACACTCGAAATAAATCTGGTATTCCCGCGCACCCATGTATTAGTCTCTATATCATAATAATAATAATAATAATAATAATAATAATAATAATAATAATAATAATAATAATAATAATAATAATAATAATAATAATAATAATAATAATAATAATAATAATCTGTTTCATTAATCACATTGCAGTAGAGACTGAATTACATGATTATAAGTAAATACATTAAAAATTAAATTTACAGATAAAATTGAGTTCAAACCGTTCAATGTTCGTTCTGAATAGTCAGTTTAAATCTGTCCACAAATTATAATTGGGTACCTGAATTAATATACACGAGTACTACTAAATCAATAATACATTTATTTAATAATTATATTTAACAGTTATAAAATTTTGAAACCGTTCTGTGTTCGTTTGGAGTGACCAGCTTGATTCGGACCTAAGATTATAATTATGAGTAGTTGGATGTATACGAGTTGCAACAACATCCTTAAGAGGATTTATAGGACCATTGTCAAGCTTCAATTTCCGGATAAATTGTTCGCAGGAATTATGTCTACGTGTACTTAACTTTTTTAGACCGGTATAATTCAATGCGTCTTGATACGACATTTCGGGAAGCAAGATACGTAATGCTCTTCTCTGTATCGATTCGATAAGGTCAGGCTGGCATTGGGTCAGCGTTGACCACGCTGGTGAAGCGTACTCAATTCGGGACCGAATGAAGGAGACAAGGTCTTTATCGCTTAACTCAGCCTTTTTTAACTTCCGCAATGCATAGAGTCTGGAATTTGCTTTTTTAATCACATAGCGTATTTACTCGACTGAGCGCCGTCCCCGATTGGGCGCCGCCCCCGAATGAGCGCGGTACTAAACAGCGTAAAAACTTTCCGCCGTCAAAATGGGGACATTTAGTGATAAAGACATTTAAAACTTGTTTATTTTATTGTTAAAAGTTCTTGTAATCATTCACAAATAAGATTTTTTAAAGAGCGCCGCCCCTGATTGAGCGCCGCCCCCGAATGAGCGCCGCATCTGAAGCTCTGAAAATTTAAAGAGCACCGCGGCGCTCAAACGAGTATATACAGTATTTTTACAATAAAAAATCCCATCTTGATCATTTTTTTTCACTGCCAAAGTTTCCGGATATGATGTCATTAGTTGAATTGCAAATTTATTTTTTTTGTGCCAAAAATTCACCTATTAAATGACATCATATCTGGAACTTTGACAGTGAAAGAGCTAATCAAGATGAGGTTTTTTACTATAAAGATACATTACATTTCTTCTCAGAATGACCCAAATATTACACATACCAAAATTTATATTTGGGGTTAGTCGCAAAAAATGTCACTTAAGGTGGCACTATACTGTATGTATTGTGTATGATGATGTATGTGTGTTATTTTGGTACAAGTGTTTATATTATTTATTATGTAGACCTAATCTTGTAAATAAATATTAAAAATAAATAATTACCTTACCAATTACCTGAGCCCTCATTCTCCAATCCAAACTAATAATTGTTTGAATAGGTATGTAATTAAACATTAATTTACTACAGCAACTGTACTTGACCATGCATATCTTGGCATAACCCAGCAATTCACAATTACTTGTAAAGCAATGCAATACATTGCATGTTATTTTATTAAAGTTTGATTCGGACAATTATTTCACATGGCATATTGCTTACGAAGCCATACAAGACATGGTTTTCTTTTAATTAAACTAACATTTACCACAAAATAAGGCAATATATTGAGGTTATTTCATCACAGTCCCCCATACAAATTTGGGCAAACTTTCAAGAGACCCCCAAAAGGATCAGCCCATAGGGGGGCATCCATTTAGCATATACAACCAACACCCCCTTTGTACGCTTTTTTGGCACCCCCTGCCCAGTGCGTATGTGTGCATACAAAATGTGACTATGAATGACCCCCCCCCCCCCCCAATATGAATTTTACTACACTTTATATCTTTGTTGACCTTCCTTCCTATTCATGGAATATTCAATCGATATTGTTTACATTATTTTAAACAATAATAAAATGGTCAGTGGTAGTGACACTGTTGCCAGCTTATTGGGTCGTTGCAGCAAAGATCCACACTCCCCCCCCCCCCACAGAGGAAATTTCAGCCGTCCTGAGGGGGAGGGGATAAAATTGTTTCCGATAACAGTAAATTAGGACATCCGAAGGGAGTAGGGGGGTTAACTTGCAATTTCCTCTGTGGGGGTGGTATGGAATGACCCATTACTTAAGTTAGTCAATTTTGAAGTCTTATTTCTCTTATAATAGTGCACATGTATGCATTTATTTTAGTCCCAAAATATCATTTTGCATACATACAAACAAATGATTTAATCCCCTCCCCCCTTTGTATCCATTCTTTAATCATACCCCCTCCCCCCCATGCATACATAATAAATGGCTGCCCTCATATGCCTGTAGATGATGTTTAATTTGTTGTGACATGAATATCTAACACTTTTCTGGTTCGCTATGCTTGTAAATGAATATAAACCCTACGTTTCAATTCCAAAAAGTTCGAAAAATGCAAATTTTGGGCAATGTTTATATCTGGGGGTCCCCCTTTGTTATGAGCAGAACTGATGAGCAAAACTGATGTGCAGAACGGAGTGGAATTCATCTTTAAAGGCTTATGAGAGGTTTTGTACGGGGAAATTTCAAGCGGAAGATTACTGCATGTATACACAATTTTCAGACATAACCAAGATTCTGGAACCATAATCTATATGTTTATTGCATGGTTAATATTTACAGATTAATTAGTTCAGCAAAATAGGATTTGAAAATTTGCAAGATATACAGGTTGGAGCAATTTAAATGTTATATACAGGACAGCCAACCTTACATTAAAGGAGGGCTAAGGTAAATTGAACCTAGCTCTTCTTGGGTAAATTATATGCTAAGTAAATTTGTGGGTGTCTTTTCAGCTGAAGTCTGCGAGATGAGTCCACATAAAAAAATAGTTGGTTAGCGTCCTCGCCCGCCCACAAAAAAGCCCCCGCTCAAGATTTTTTATTTAAAAAAGCTTCTATTGATCAACAGGCTCTAATCCCGAGCCAACGGCGCTGAGCGCCGTTCCTGGGCATATAAGCCTGGGGCAAGGGTACTAATCCCCCCCCGGCTATTAACACCCGGGGAAGTCTAAAGTTCATCAATGATCGCGGGCGTGGGTGACCAACAGTGGGTGGTCATCCTTACTGATCTCAAAAATATGGCGGACTGTCTGTGTCATGAATAACGAACACTGATTGGTCAAATTTAAAATTTGCATTATAACGACTACATGACGACAGCGAATTAGCAAACATTTCTTGATTTGATGATTTCTTGCAAATATATTTCATTTTTGCAAGATTTTGTGAATCTGAAAAGCTTTTTAAGAAAAAAGGGAAAAAGAATCGGCTAAAACAAGGGAGCAAAGGTGCCAACGTTAACAAAGGTAAGTTTGTTTTAAATATTAATGTATTGTTTGCTTTATAATTGCTTTAAAAGCCGATCATATAAACGTTGTGTATAAATGAAACTAGACAGCATATAATTTCAATGAATACTTTATTGACTACCCTTTTTTATTCTATTAAATTTTTTAAATAAAAAAGAAAGCAAAGTTATTTGCATGCGAAAATTTGAAATCATTTTATTTCAAACTCAAAGTTTATCGATAAAGCCAAAAGGCAGTCTAGTTTTATAAAGAACACTTTAAAATGTTTTGCAAAGCGTTTGTGGTTGAATTTTACCTTAAGTTGAAGCTTATATTACGTATAATAACATACCTATTCTAACAAAAATATGTTTGGGAAATTGGTAATTTTGTAATTAACGTGATATTTTTAGGGGATTTTTCATTTGTAAAAATACTCTTAAGGCAAGTGTTTAATCTGCAGAACGACACTTGCCAGCGCTCGCCGGAAGTGCAAATTCCGTGTGACACAAAACAATCAGCAATTTGACGGGAGATTTATATCTGTATATACCTCATCTGTGCCATGACTAACATGACGTGGCAACACAAGCCTGTGTTCACTGTTGGTGTAACTACCGGCAGGTACTTCATGTTGAAACAATGTTTCAAAAATATAGGGGAGGGGTTGTTGTATGGATTGCATGCATGTATTTCTAGTATATGTAGTATTTCTGTAGTCAATTGTGTTAATAAATTTAACTGTGCAAGACATTAACTTCCAATATAGTAAATCTTTAAATAAAAACTTGCTCTAGAACATATTTTGAAATATATAAAAAAATATCTGTACTGTGCAAGAAAATCGAAAGAAAGGCGTAAAAGTTAGCATAAATTAACAAAAACCGCCCACCCGCCCACTTTTTGGCAAAAGCTAAGGACGCTAACCAACTAATTTTTTAAGTGGCCTAACAGTGACTTTTTATAATTTTTTGGATGAATGATCATGGTAAATTTGCTTTGTAAATGGATAGTTTATTTTGAAAAATTGCTTTTCATATTGTTTTAATTGTTTGCATTGGTAAACAAGAATTAGATGCCACCCAAAAATGGCGGATATTCATCATCGTGAGAAAGGGTAATTGTATGAGCTTGTCGATCTGTCATGTCATGCCTGGTTCAATTCTTCATGCAACCTTACCTAACAAAATGTACATTGTACAGGTTTTTTTCAGGATTTTCTCTTGGGTCCGTTTTTGCAGAGAAGATTGAGTTTAGCTGAACAGCTGGGGTGGCTGAACCCCCCCCCCCTCTACCAGGGGGCTGACACTTGTACTTAATGTGTTAAAGCAGGGGCACTGAGGGACACTATAAACTGTTTAAAGATGGCGAATGCATAGTTTTTCTTGTGTTGTGAGATGAATTCCAGCCATTTTTTCTCAATTTCCACACGTCACGAATTTAACTCAAACAACTTCATTTTTACTGCACTGAAACTTTGGTGAGAAGATTGAGTTTCAAAACCCAATTCAAGATTGAGTTTTTGGGTTAACGGCCCTAAAAAATCCCTGAAAAAACCCCTGATTGTACACTGACACATCCCTGAGGTGGCTTTTGTTGAACGTCTGGTCTCGAGGCTATTGTGCCGGGTGGGGAGCCTATAGCCTGCAAACCTGCTGCCAGCTGGACTGCCAGGGCCGGAATTGACTTTCTTTTGCCCACAGACCTTGAGGAATTGATAGTTTAGAAATAAAATAATCTGTAAATCCCCAGGGGGAATGGTAACACAAAGAATTGTACCATGCATTTCTAACACACCCTATACAAATAATAGAAATAATTTATAGCATCTAGACTAGTACATATATTTTCATGAAGAATGTTCAAGCTAGCATTTAAAATTGCAGCATTTGGGAATTGAACCAAGCACAAACAAAGATTTTTAAAATCTCATACACTAGACTACTAGAGGAAGAAGCTATTTGACTTGTAACGAAGTGTTGATAAACAGCAAGGCAAACCGCTATTTATATTACTAGCCCAGAATTTAAATATCTAGAGCAACATAAAAGCAACAATATCTACGAAAATTTAAACACACTAAGCGACAATTTCCCATCCCTATGAAAATATCAACATATTCTTACCTTTTCAGCAGAGTTTACTCGCTTTCTGGACAATTTTTGATAAACTTTTTACGATTTTTATTAACCAGAAAATCCAGAAATAATCTTCGCAATGTCACCTTAAACAAAACTGACGCCAGCAAACGCAAGATACCTATGAATTATGGGACATTATTACCGGCGTTAGTGCCCAGGCTTTCGAGCTTAGTATGCGCCACTGAGCTATACTATATTACTGGTTTATTACTGGAGGACCCGCTCGGGATCAAAAAGTGTCGCCAAAAACATGGCGGACTTACGCCATTTCCATGACAACAGTGAGAACAGCTGGGAAATTTGTTGCACATGCGCCAGATTTCTATTGAAACTTGAGAATTTCCCCAAAGAAATAACGAAATGCTCGTGGACCCCGTGGTTGTTGTATATTTTTTGCTTGAGACAAAGTAAAATGTACTCTACGTTTCCAGTGTATAGAATATCTAGTTTGAACAGCAATAGAATATTATAATCAGAAACACCTGAACTGGGGTGCAGGAGGGGCAGCCGCCCCCGTTGCCCTTCACCAGGAGGGCAAGGGGGGCAAAGGTGCCCTTTCAATTTAAAGGATTGCTTTGGCGAAATAACGAATTGTCAGAAATGTTAGTGCAATTCTTTTACGAATTTGCTTCAGAAAACGCAAGAAATGCAATCATCGAGCTTCAAGAATAGCACAATCGCCTGGCGGAGAACCCCCTCACACCCCTATCATCCAAAAAATAGAAAACATGATCAGGCGCAGTTCAACTGCCGATGTTTTGCAAACATCTCTTAGTATATATCAATTCAAAAGTGCCCTTTCACGAAAATCTGCCCCCTTGCCTTCACATCGTTCCGGCGTCCCTGATTATAATCTTGACACAAACAAGAATTACAGTTTGACACGGAGGTCGCCAAAAAAAATTTCGAGAAAATTTTTTTTAAAGACGAAAACGTTGGTCATTTTCATTGAAAAAGTTGGTCATTATGGTATGACGCCCCCAATCTGGAATCGTTCGCCACGCCCCTGAATTACTAATACGGGTGGTTTAAAATGTTTTCAATTGAATTTTCAAAGCTTTTATCTATCGATATGATAATTGACAAACTGTGAAATCAGTGAAAGTGCCGGCTTTTGTTGACGCTTGCGAATCAGTAAAATAACTTCCCGTAAACAGAGCATTTCTACACAAAACTCTCGCTTAGTCTTCAGATGTACTTGTATGTTCGGTTCTACTAGTTCAACAAGGAACATGTCCAATAAACACTGAATTAAATTCCGGAGGTCATTACCAACCGACATATTAAGACAAGCACAATAAGGTACATTTCATACATT